TCATATATTGTTAACAGTTGGTCCTCAATATTGTATTGTTATTATTATTGGGAAAAATGGGCAGCGTGAGGATTTGAGCGACTGACAAGGGCCAAATTGTGATAGCTGGACAACTGAGTCAGAGCATCTCCAAAACTGCAGCTCTTGTAGCGTGTTCCCAGTCTGCAGTGGTCAGTACCCGTCAAAAGTGGTCCAAGGAAGGAAAAGCGGTTAACCTGCGACAGGGTCAAGGCTCACTGATGCACTTGGGAATGAAGGCTGGCCCATGTGGTCCGATCCAACAGACGAGCTACTGTAGCTCAAACTGCTGCAAAGGTTAATGCTGGTTCTGATAGAAAGGTGTCAGAGCACACAGTGCAATAAAAAAACAAGAAAAAAAGGAAAGGGATCCGTATCAAGATTGTTTGTTGTGCATTTATGCTGAAACTGAATCAAACAGTAAATGTAACACAAACTCACATTAAATAAACATGACAACACAGCAGTTGCACACGGAGCGACTGCCCTGAAATATCTACCCTGCAGTGCCGTGACTGCTGCTGCTAAATCAGGCTTCATAGCTGAAGTGTATCCTCGCGGTTTGATGGGAGGGGAGCGGATTTTATTGGCTTAGTGAGTCAAGTGGTTGTTCAGTGGTGTTACGTAACTCTGTAGCTGAGCAGGTGTCACTATAGGATACCACACTCATGTGGTAGCAGGCCTGTGGAATGAGTCGAGCTTACAGGAGCACCGACAGCGTCTGCAGTACAAAACACAGTGGAGGGATTCACACTTGACTTAACAGCCTCCGGTCTGCTGAAACAAGGATTGGTTTCAAGCAGGTGGAAAAAGTGTCTCCCGCTGTGAAATAGTGTTGCTGCTGTGAAGTTCATGAGGTTTCTTAGTGTTTTTTTGCTCTTCTAAAGCCACATTCCTTTGAGCATTTTCTATCTGTAACACAAGGTGAAATACAGCTCAACAGATCCTCAGTCGCAGCTGAAATTTTGACTCATCATAGCAGGAAAAGCACAGGTGTAATAACATTATTGATGGCTCTGTGCCATGAACCAACCTATGCTTGACAAGTCAAACTGGTCATATCAGAGATCCTGACATTATAACCTTGGATTAAAAACAGGCTGCTTTTAAACCTCGATCCATCTCCATTACAAACACTACAATACCCACAACCCTCTCCACCTCCTGGGAAATCACATTTTGCTATGAACCCTTATTCTGGCAGACATTTTGAGTCATACATGCTGTAACTGATTATATTAATAATCTGCACTTTTTCCTGCTACGAGAAGACAAAATGTCTGTCTTGTTCCAATTTTGTCTTTTTTGACACCGATTTAACCCCAACGTCAGCTAGCTCTGTGTCTGCCTTTCCAAGCTTTATGAGCTCAAGTGGAAAATCCAAATAGTTGTCCTCGGTCCAGATCCACTGCTGAACAAAAACACAGCTGTGGCACTTCAGAATCTTTACTCAGCCGTGACAGTATTATAAAGTCTGTTGCACCGATAGTGTAACATCACTGCACAGGTCACAGTGACATCCTCCTCTTTGATATCTGACTATTATGGTGGTTTAGCAAGAAGTCTTTGAGAATTTAACACGCTATTCACTTTTGGGAGAGAAGAAAGATACCAAACTCACCCTCCCATCTTATAGGCCCCAACGCCTCCTTGCCATGCCCTGACAAATGAAGGGTCCGCCAGCAGAGAAACGGGGTTAAAGGACCCTGTGGCAAAGTAAGGTCCCACTGGGCCGACGATGACGAAGATCATAGCTTTTCCTGCCCGAGACACACCAAGGGACGGCTGGAGGAGGGGTGAGGAAGAAGAGAAGACAGGAAGTCAGGTCAACAGTAATGACAGTATGCAGGATTGAACCATATTTAACACCAGCTGATTAATCACTTCAGCTGAGATGGGAATCGACACAGACCTCAATTCCTATGAAGGTGGGTCTGATGTAGAGACTGGCGTCCTGGGAGTAGGGAACCCACTCCTGGTCAACCGCCACCAGCTTCTTGATGCACTCCAGCAGTTCACCTTTATCGAACAACTACAAAGAAACAAAGACAAGGACGTTCTTTATTTACATAATCTCTTTATAGCAGCATTTCACCACTGCAGCTCAGGCCGTGTTAATTGAAGCCTTGGGTAAAGTTAGTGTGATGTTTTTCTACTGCGTGTGTATACTGTGTTTACATGAGATTCAGTCATTCACAACACATCTACATACATTACTTGTGGGTGACTTATTTTATTATTTTTGTCTGTGCAAAGAATAAATTCAGACAATGATCATGTGACATACGGCACTCATAGATCCTGTTTACACTGTTTTCATTGATCCGAACACAAGTGGACAGCTGAGGCACATAACCGTTCACACATATGTCTGATCAACTGTATTCAGATCTATAAACGGATGCACAATATTTATTAGGATTTAACTTTTTGATAGGCTTTATGTTCTGTGAAACATAGAAACATTTCGGCCAAATATGGCTCTGTTGATATTAATAGTTGCTGACCCCTGCAGTAGAATGTCAAGGGGCCCCACATACGGTTATTACCACCAGTCTGTCGCAACTCGCCAGATTTGTTTCGCACAGGCTAGCTAAGAAAACAAAAATGTTTTAGGAACTAATATACACGTAAGGGGCTTCTCCAACAGTGAAAACAACTACACGTCCAGCATTGATGATGTATTTTCCTGTTACATCAATGTCTGGGACACATCGGGGTGCGTTTGCACCACAAGAAATCTGTGGTTCCAGACCAGCTCGGCAAGTGGTTTGAGTGATCAGATCACAAGAGGTCTTGGTGGTCATTCACACTTGTGATCCAAATGCCTACAGACGCATTTTAAAACCGCAGTTTAAAAGTATAAACAGGGTCATAGTTTCCATTGTGTCCTGAACTCCTGGTGAAGTTTTAACTCTTGCATCAGGACCGGGTTCTTTGAGTGTTAGGCCAGAAATGGGCATGTTGCCAAGCAGATACGCAACATCGCCGAGGGTCAGTAGCTTCAGGGCAGCAGTCTAAATGTATCCTGCCCTGGAAACTTAAAAGAATCAGAAGAATTTAAGGCGCATTCAGACCAGCTGTGGCCCTATGGCAACACAATGAGAGGCTGCACATATTGCCACAGGGTATAAAATATAAACCAGGAAGTTAGCTTTAAGGGTACACGTCACACAGTGGATGAAGCCTGGATTGTACACCTTTGAGAAGTTCATCACGGCTGCTGGAAGGTGTTTGCCCCGTTAGTGCTGTGCATTGGACCGAAGAAGGAGGTTTTTTTTTTCCCCACATTGATTTTGTTGCTGTCAATACAGTCCGTTTAGTCCTGCTTCCTGAGTTTTAGAGGACATTCAGACTGAAAACAACCCTGCGTTGGTGTGATCGCGTTGCTTCAGGTATCAGTAACACAATGAAATATGGTACAGGAAGTATAGGTTACAAGAAAGGATTTTAAAACTCACAGCGGGAATTGTTCAATTCAATTTAAAAGGGCTTTATTGGCATGGGAAACTAACTATTCTATGTTTCATCTCAGCAGATATCTTACTAATAATGTGTAATGTGCAAATTGATTGCCAGGCGATGTTGCCCTTTTTGCCACAGCCCTCTGTATCGGGCACCTTCCCTCCGTCTGAACAAGATCTCAGTGTCTCATGCTGGTCTAAATGCTGTTAAAGAGGCCTTTTCTGGTCAAGATACCAAATATTGGTTCCAACCCAAATACAGTTAGCCGGCCTACATGAAGGGCTTGACACCAACAAGCATCCCCACTGAGGGTTTCTGGAGGACCAGGTGGGGGCACAGACTCACAGGAAGGCAGCTTCTGTCAGCGCTTCGATGCATCCTCTCCATGTTCAGCATGGGTCTGAACAGACGGATGTGGTTGTCGACTCCACGAAACGCCTTCATGCCTTCAAACAGCTGGAGAGGAGACAGAAACACGCTGTAAGCTTTCCGTGTCAGACTGTTAATCTCATATTATATATATGTGTTCAAACAATGTGGTACACCTGCAAAGAAACTTTCATTCATTCATTCATTTTTTCGGCAGTTACTTAGTTGGTTTAAATCTCCCAGTGTTTCCCTGCAACTAAATGACTGAGGTTAGTTATTGTCGTATTATGGTCTGCTTGCTGCTTCAGAGACCCTTTCACCTGTGTTTCATTATAAAGAGAAGCACTGAGATAAAATGTACACATGACAGGAACAGTTCTGTCTAAAATCCTTGGTCTATATTGCTATTGTTGTCAGTTAAACCACAGCAGCAGCAGCTGCACCCAGTGAAAACATCAGAAACTGTCTCGCCTATCTCTAAACTTTATTTTAGCACTCAAACAGAACTCATTATCATTCTGGTATGGGGGAAAACACTGACTTGTCTGTATTTCTTTAAGCCAATTATAATCATCTTGGGTGGCGCTAAGCCCAGGATGCAACGGTGGTGTCCTTACAAATATAGCGCTGTGAGAGAACTTGGCTGCTAACTTGTTTACACTCGTACAATTAGTGACCTGGTTAGGATAACTTTCAGTGTGTAGGTTGTTGCTTGGCGGTTGGTTTCATGTGGCAATGGTGACAGTAACACGGACAGAGTGAAACGGGGGGAGAATGCTGACTGAAATAGTCGCCCAATGGCTGGCCTATACCAACAGCCTACTTCCTGCGAGTCAGACTACATCAGAAACCACACAGACCTGATCTCCACTCACCTCTATGGAGTAGTGCAGGGCAGAGCTGGCAGGGTGCAGAGACAGGTTCTGGAAAGGTTTGATCTCAGGAGCCTCCCAGCCGTCCTTCTCCGACCAGTTGATGGTCAACATGTGGTCGGAGAACTGCTTGCCGAACACCAAGGTGGATGGGTCGGGCCTCGGCTTGCATGCTGCGTTTTGTTCGACGACGAGATCTGCAGCCTGAGATGGAGACGGACGAGCGAGCCGGGAAGAGCAAAAAAGTAGCAGAGCAGGCGACGAATACAGTGATTGTTTTTTTAAATTGATGTTATTGACAGAGCATGCTTTTAAAGGACAATTAGTTGAGAGTTATACAGAGTCAGTCGAGATATCTGGTCAATTAGACACAATTTAATTAAGTACAATTAAACTGAATTAAATAATTACAACAGGCACAGACAGTGAGGGAAAAGACAGAGGAGGGGGGAAAGAAACTTTAATTTCTAGGCAACTTGTAGGAGTTAAAATTGAACTTCTCCCAAAAGATAGATAGATAGATAAATCTATAAACATCCTGTGCTCTGAGACAAAGTTGCCAAGCAGGTACAGACAGAAAGACAGCGCTGGCCTCACCCGTTAACATTTCCTCATTACCTTAAACGAGCTGGCGAACCTCAGTGAGCCAAAGGAAAAGGGGAGGGCCTGAACCAGTCGTCCATGGAGTGCCTGCGAATGAAACATGACAAAGTTATTTGCAAGACGACACACTCACTGTGGCAGTCGACTGTACACAGTACTAGAAGTTTTACTATACCACCTTCATTGCAATATTTTGTAAGATATATCATCTTTCCAGGTGACAACTATCGCCGTGGGAATAAAAGTCTGACACTGTGTGTTTTGTGGGAGTGTGACTCAGCACCAATCATTTCGCTCGCAGTTCTCGGTGTGGAGCTAGTGACACATGCCGGTGCTGAGTGCTGTGCTGTAATTAGACTGAGGCACGTCTGCAGGCTACTCTGCAAAATGAAGAATGAAAGGTGAGACACTAGTGTGCCAGGATCCTACATGGGTGACAAAAAGCTCACAGAATAAAGTGAGAGTCAGGAAAAAGGTGCAATGGGAAATCAAGACCTGCTCTAATAGCCAAAACACCAAAGAGGCCACCAACAGTAATGGTTTACTGATATCAGTAGCTCTTGTCATGAGAGGAAAGCTAATATGAAAGGAAAAAATCAGCTCTTTTCCTGTTTGAGGGAAGGCAGTTGTTCATTTGTATATGGCTGACCTGTCCAGGGAGCCGAATGCTTGTAAAGCATGTTGTGCTTTTGGTAATCCCATAATTAATCTTTTAATCTGCAGTGGTGGTCTTTCACAATGAGTTCACATTCCAAATCAAATTGACTTATCTTGCCTAAACTAGAAGACAGTACAACTGATTGCTTTGGAAATTCCTAGACTCTGGTGCAGGAGCCAATGTGTGCACTTTGTTGAATGGCTGATGCAAGTTTTGCCCTTATTGCGACCATAGGTAGAGTGGGTATATGTCTGTTTTTTACTGTGTAGTTTGTGACATGCACGAGTAAATCTCATGCATAAAATGTAATCCCTCATTTTGGGTTCTTTTGGACACACAGTCTGGATTTAAAGTGAAAAGGTACTTAGCAAATGCTAGCTAGCATTTGTGCTTAGCATTAACATTAACAGAGACAGCTGCAATGTAACTTAATTACAAATGTGAAATGTGTAGTAACGGCATAATGAGGTAATAGCATACACACACACACTTTGCATATTTTTAAGTAACCTGGAGAAATGGTGCTTTCTAGCTCCACGCCAAACTCCATTTAAAAAAATCATTGAATTAACTGAATCTTACTTACAGCGTCGCTTACAAACTACATACAGGCAAATTAATAACTACTCCAGTATCAGTAGGTTATATTCTTCACTTCGGCACACTAATAATCTACAAAGCATTTCACTGGCTTGGCTACTACCGTCCACTAAAACCTCGGAATGTGATACGTGTAACGTTAGTCTAACTTTAAAAAAACAAAAGAAATAGCACGAAATAAAGTCTAAATCTGTGACTGGATGTGAGCCGAACTCATCCCCGATCCTTTAAGATTTATTTTAGCCCTTGACTTGTATTTTACGAGGTGTCAACTTTTTGCCGATAAGCAAAACAAATTTAGTTCCCAGATTTCAGCATGGAGTCTGTGATTTAACGACCCTTTCCACGCCGTCTTGTTTTGCCATTCTCGGGGCTGGTGGGACTGACACAGCAGTCCGTGTAAAACCAGTGGAGCCGCGATAAGGACTCGTTATCTCCCTCGCTCATTACCAGCCGACTTATCGCCTCTTTGGGTGAATCATTTACTCCGACAGTCAGTGTAAACAGATAACAAACAGCACACAGACATTAGTGAATGAACTCACCGTTCGCAGGGCTGCCATCTCCGCTACGTAACGATGATAAACGAGATTATTTGTTCGTGTAGAAACACGCACTCCGCTCAAAGTCGACTTGGGTTCCGCTTTGAAATAAGAGTCGCTGCTCAGCTGAGGTGAAGTCAAAAACCTCCCACACATAAAAAAAAGAAAAAAGAAACCCCTTCAGGATATTAGTGCTTTAACACAAACACTTGAGCTGGTTTATAAACCCTCCTATACGGTTGGTGATATATCTTTTATTTATTTGTTTTTTTCCTGGGTTAATAATCTAACCTTCTGTAACAGAGTGGGGAAATAAATTACCATAAAATCACTTTAATAATTGCATCCTGGTTAAAGTGTCCGTTTACATTAAACCAGTGAGGTGTCACACAGGAAGTCTTTGGAGGCGTGACAAAAGCGTGACATCTGATTGGCGGACACCGGCAGAGTCGCAGAGTGGCGGTCACTCGAGGTCAAATAGGCTGACGCTGATTGGTCTATAGGTGGGGAGTGGTTCACGTCATAGCAGGACAAGGATGCCAAAACTTTTGAGTTCTCAATTGACAAATTTACTCAACAAAATTAATTTATTTTCTTGAATGAATATTGAACATTTAGTATTCATGTTACTAATGTATCCAGCACACTTTAAACATCATATAAAAATCAGCATTAAACACATTTAATCCCTTAAACCAGCTGTTCCGCAAACCATCAGGAGGATTTGGAGGACCAGGACTGTCAGGATGGGATCTGACTCTTGAAGCCGTAGTTAAGTTCAGCTCCGCCGCTGAGCAGCAGGTCTATCCCGGTGCAGAAAGTAGCATCAGCAGCGAGATATAAGGCAGCCTGTCCACACTCGGCCTCAGTCCCCATACGACCCAGCAGCTGTTTGAGAGGAAAAGAACCTGTCATTTCCCATTTCTTGTTCCGTTACCAACTGCACATTTTGTGGTCTGCAGCCACATAACTTCGTTGTGTTTATGTGTGTGTTTTATACTCATGCAGCTGTTCCCTGCAGTTGCTGATGTGCTGTTGCTGCATTGTAAAAAAAAAAAGGCAGCTTGGCTCTTAATTATTTGCCAAGTAAAATACAAATTTCAAAATTGTTTTACAGAGAATGTATTTCTTCAAGACTCCATTTAAAAAAATGTGCATTCACTTATTTTAAACCAGTCAACCCACAACTGGAAAAAACTACAAGCTTAATATGGAGTTTTACATCCTACATTACAATAACCTAAATAAAAATCCCCATCTTCCTTCTCTAAAACAATGTAATAAATTAATATACGGGAAATTTAGGGATTTTAGGGAATTCTCCTTCACTTTCTGTTTTTAAAGTTTTGTTAATATGTGGAAATAAACAAGCAATAACAGCAGAACTGAGCATATTTAACACTTATATTTTAAATGGCAATTGTTATAAGATCTGATATCAATATGAAATCTTAATTGTAAGACACTTAATTAAAACGTTTTGCAGAGGCACATCATGATATTACTTAATATTTCATATGCTTCTGTTTCCACTCTTCCACCATGAATAATGAAGAGCAAGCTGAAACTCTTCAGGAGCGCAGTCTAGCGTCTCCTCTTTGTTGTATCACCCCATTAGCTTTAAATGCCTCTTCTGACTGGGATTAAAACAAAGTTGTAATTTGCATGGCGAGGGAGGGAGACAGACCGCAGTGTGTCGCAGTTTTGATCATTAACACAACAATGTGGCAGGAGCTGTGGGCCACCTCGTAGTGATTAACACTGAAACATGGAGGCTTAAGAACTTCAGTATTATGTAATATTATCAGTGTTATGTAACAGTGTGTGTTTTTATACACTTTTCAGGATTAAAAGTCTTCGCTACCAACAATAAAATCTCACTACTGCTAAACCAATCAACTCTGTCTCTCTTCCCCCCCCCAAGGCCTCAGTAAGATCACGTCAATCTGAACATGTTCCTTGTCTTTCTGGCCTTCGTAGGAACCCTCTTGGTTGCGCTGTGAGAACTTGCCTGTGAATTCTCCCCCGCTTTAATGGTCGCTGCAGCATCTGGTGTCTGTCCTGCTAATTCTTCCCACAGAGGCGTGAGCACATTACCTGGAGAGATGCTGCAGTACACGGCGGACAGTGTTATTAGACAAGAAACGTACAATTAGATTTGTCAGAGACCGTGGCAATTTTATGCTGACAAAAATATGATGATTACAGCCTTTAAATGCAAAGATGATGCTTGTTCTATATTTTTATCGAATGTTTAATTTTGTCACAACACAAACTGAGTAATTTTAGACATATAATCTTACTTTATTGTCAGACTTTGTTATTGACATGTTTTGACACAATAATAATAAGCAGCAGTTGAATGTAACAAAGTACTTTTACTCCAGTACTGTACTTAATTACAATTTTGAGGTACTTCACTTGAGTGTTTCCATTTTATGCTATACTCCACATTCAGAGGTAATATTGTGCCTTTTATTCCATTGCATTGATCAGACTTAAATAATTACTTTTCAGGTAATTAATTTCTAGTTTTTCTAAACATTTCTAAACCCTAAATGTGTTTCATTCAAACAGTAAAAGGCTGATTACACATTGATGAATAAGTATTAAAAATCAAACCATGTCATATAATAATATATCAGTCCCAGGAGATATTTTACTGCAGAACAAACACTTTTACTTTTGATAACTTGAGTATATTGTGCTGATAATATTGATGCACTTTTTCATAATTGCATTACATATGCATCATTTATTTTTATTTTATTTTTTTTTTACTTATAATGGAGTATTTTACATGGTTGTACTGGTACTTGAGTAAAAAATCTGAATACTTTACTACTGTAAATAAGTTAATAAAAAAATTATTAAATTGATTATTAGAGCAATACTTTTACATTACAGCACTAAAGATGGAACCACATTTGAATCTGAATAGCCAAACTATTTACACATTTAAAATAAAAAGTACTGAGAGTGAAATCAGTGATCTAAACCAGACTGAACACAGAAACCAGTTTGTCTCACCAGTTCACTCGCACGTTGTAGCGACTCTCATCCACAGCCATTGCCTTTGTCATGGAAGTGATCGCCCCCTTGTGGACAAAAGATCACATTACAGATCACCTTTTTAAGGATTAAAGAAGTGTGGACTCTTGCCTCCTGGAGGATAAACTCACCTTGGTTGCGACATAAGGTGCAGCATCTTTCTGACCGATGGTTGCCACCAGACTGGAGACATTAATGATGTTTCCCTGACGCTGCCGGAGGTACGGCAGCGCATACTGAAGAGAGAGTGAGACCTCCAGTGATTGTATTTACTTAGACATGTGTCTAAGGGTGTGTGAGGGAGGTCAATGGATGCAAAGAAATACTTCACTGTTCTATAAGGAACTGATAAGATCACTACTGAATAATTCATGTTGGAACTGAAATATCTGAATTCATGAGGTTTTATTTTCCCTCTTTGAAATTTTGTGCATGCTTTTGGGAATATCTGCTATATTTTTATTTGTAATGTTTATATTCTTATTCAGTCCATTGTTTTATTACTTCGGTGCCAAAATGTTCATGTTTTTAATTTTTCCTCTTGAATTTTGGTTTCAGAATTTCACTAATTTGAGCAGCTGACGTTTTGATTTAACTTGAGTTACATATTTACTATTACATTCATTCACATCAACTATTCAGTAATAATAATAATAATAGTAGTATATAGTCAAATTATACAGTAGTGATTATATTTCAAAGTTATGGTTTCAGTTGCTTATAAGAGTCAAATCTTCCTTTGTTTCCGTTATTCAGTCATTAGAAGTAATTAAAGTCATAATCAATTATTTGCCTCTTGAATTTGGAGACATTACTTTAGAAAACAAGAAGTAGCTGATGAGGTTCAGATCCAGCAGATCCCTGAACTCCTGTGCTGTGGTGTCATCAATAGGTTTATGAGGCGGGTCTAAAGACAGCAAAGGCAAACAGATAAATTAAGTTAGTACCACGAGAAGCAACCTCAAATATCATGACCTCAATATCACATCTGCTGGAGGACTTAGGAGTGTGAGACTCACGCCACCCTACATTGTTGACCAGGCAGTCAACATGTCCGTAACACTCCACTGTGACAGCAATCAATCTCTGTGGAGAAACAGTCACACCAGTTTCATTTGAACAAGAAGCAGGCCAGAGGAACCCGTTTCCAACAAAAGAGCTAAGACCGACGGGACTTCGCCCAGCAGAGCAAACACAAGCACAAACACACACACAACTGGCTGGACTCTAAGTTTTAGTTGCTAACTTTCCAAATGAACATTTGACTCAAGCAGTCTATTGATCTTTGGATCCAAGTCAGTTGATAAAGGACAGGTCTTGTGATCAGGACTCTGTGTCATATGGGACCCTATAAATCTATGTCCAGTATAACCAGACAAATGACAATAAAGTTGCACTTTTACCTTGATGTCATCTTCTTTGCAGACATCACATGTGACAAATTTGCATGAGCCTGGCCCTGCCTTGTTTAGCTCTGTCTCTAGAGCCTCACCTTGTGCACCTGTAATACATGCAGGATCATGATAAAATATATAAGTATACATTCCTGTGCTTCAGTTATATATATCATATTGATATATCATTTTTAATGAATGAATTATAAAGCTATGTGGTGATACATATTCTAAGTTAATACAGAATTCAGTGGAAAAAAAGATGAATAAAAACAATATTACGAACCTTCTTTTGCACAAAACACCACTTTGGCACCATTCTCCACTGAAAACAAGATGTGAGAAGGTTTTAAAAGATACGCCACTTCCTGCTCTGATCACAAACAAATACGCAAAAATCAATAATAAATAACAATAGTTACCATACCAAATACTTTTACAATCCCTCTGCCAATCCCTTTGGATCCTCCAGTGACAATCACAACTTTGTTGTGGTAGCGGAGGGACATTCTGGTAGTTAACGCTGCAGAAGACTATTGTTGTGCTTTCATTTTTTCACAGCACGTCTGCGTCTCTTCCAGTTCATCTACTTCCTCAAGTGTAAAGTTCAAAGTTTCACAAAATCATGGGAGTTACTTTGATGCCTTCAGGTGCAACTGGAAGTATTGGAAATAACCAAGTTCACTCAAAGTGGGGGAAATTATGTCAATAAATTGTAAACTTTATTAAAGAAAGAAAATTAAAGACCTATTAACATTACCTGGTAAAATTACACTGAACTCTTATGTTATATACAATAACAAGAGAGTCTACAGTCATGCTAGGTTTCATCTATAAGCTAACATCAGTATGCTAACACACTTTCTATTGTTCACGAGGTATACTTGTTATTGTTTATTGTTTGTCACTGTGTTAACTGGTTTGTGGTCATTTAATGTATTAAGAGCTTATAGCTATTGTAGTGTAGAGTTTAGACTGTGTCAATGGGTTTTACAGATATTTTGGCCATGAACAAAAATACTGCAAAAAATGTAAGAGTTTAACCAGATGATTGCACTAATTAAAAAGTCAGAGGATCATTAAAGTGATTGTAATTCCTTCTAAGCAGGACATGAATGTCTGTACCAAATCTTGTGCCAGTAGATGTTGAGATATTTCACAGAGTAAGTGAAAACTTTGACCTGCTGGTGGCGGTAGAGGAAATGTCAGGGAATAACCACAGTCATCAGGATTCATCCTCTGCAGACCATAAATCTCTCTACAAAATGTCATGGCAATCTATCTGAAAGTTTCTTGAAATATTTCAGTCTGGACCCAAGTGGTTGACCAAAAATGTAAAACTAAATACTCATAAACATAAAACATGTGAGGAAAGCTTTCATATAAATGTGTTTCCATTCCATCAAATTAAAAACTGATAGGCCAGCTTCATCACAGCCAGTGTTTTATTTCACTTAAAATCATGCAATAGATTCCAAAAAACTGATTCTGATATTGTCCAATCCCTCATTTATTTAATGTACCAAACTCTTGTATTTATGACTCTCAAAAGTCAGACATTTGGAATTTACCCAGAGCATTTGAAGGCAACATTTGTAAACCACTCTGTCACAAAATCACACACAAACACACACACACACACACACACAGTGCTATACAGCGACAGTGCAGACTTCATGATGTGTCTAAAATAGCCACAGACATCAAGATTTATATTTAATATCAAATGAGGTCAAGCTTCATTTGACATGTTTTATGTGCCCTGTTTTAAATTTGTGTAAATTCTGCACAAGCCACAGTCAAATAGTCAAATATAATTTAAAATAGATGATGACAGCAAAGCTATGGAAGCATTTAGAGGCGACATGGCGACAAAATCCAAGAAAAAAGACTAACCACATGTTTGTGGTTTCACCCCAGCATGGAAATTCTAATCATCAACACCACAAATTTTCCTCTTTTTTTTACAAAAAAAAAATCATTTTTTTAACATAATAGTTTTGGCCTCTGTTATGTGAAAGTTTATGTGCACCCATGCGTGCAAACATGTACAGTATGTTTAAGAAAGAGTGAGGGGTGAAGAGGTTGACATTTCCGGGCAGGAAGGCTTTCTGGGGGCAGAGATAGGGGTAGAAGAGGCAGCGGTGCTCTTAGAGGAGGAGAGGGTCAAAGATTGAATTTCTGCCCGACAGCATTCCCAGGGGGCGTATTGAGCGTGAGAGAGGGCGCAAGTGAAGACAGTGAGTGACCTACAAACAAGCTTAACTATCTTAACTTCACCCACGCTGCAGCTTTACACCGCAGCAGCCCCTGAAGGAGCCACGCTGCTCGCTCTGCCGCCTCCCCTCCCCTCCCAAACGAGACACATAGAGCAGAAGGAGGAGGAGGGGTTGTCTGGACATCATTATGAGGATACACAAACTGTCTCAGAAGCAGAGAAGGGTCAGCCCAAAAGGCACCCTGAGGTGGAGGTACAGTAGGAGAGTCATGGTCACTCTGTGGAAGTGTGATTAGTTTGAATCAGCAGCTCTGGCAGGCAGACGGGTGAGAGGAGGAGTTTCTACTGGGTGCACTGGACATGGTGATTAACTGGTGATGAGCATGGAGATGACTGCATGTGTGGAGCTTTTTGCGTGGAGGGTCTGCATGATGCCATTTACAGTAAAAGTAGCAGAATATGGTGAAAAATATACTAGTTCATGTCAAAAGCGAGGACTACCAGAACTACCAAGTTGTGCTTAATGTGGCAGTGTTCTACTCACTCTTACCATCACACAATCCATATATATATAATTTTTTGTAATGTAATCTAAGTAACATAACAAATGTTTTTTTCTGATGTCCAGAAAATTGCTCCGCTTGATTTAAAGAGAAAACTGAGGTGAGAGTTTGATTTTTGATTGATTTTATTGATCAGTTCCATAATATTCTGGGGAAATAATAATCTATTATTGATAAAATTAAACAATTAAGGAACATCTAATAACCTATTTTACTAAAATGTGTTTTATGCACAAAAATTGTGATTAAAAAGTAGTAAAAGTAATAAATATTACCCTATGCTATTGTATTTATTTTCTTTTGACTTTTATCTACTCATGTTTCCCTCTTCTGTTTTACTGCATTGCCAAATTAACCTTGATGTCTTTTCTCCAGAGCGAAGAGACAAAAGAAGTACAACAATAAAGCCAAGAAATAAAAAAAATCCAACATTGAGAAATGGATAAACAAGACAAAGGGGATGAAGTAGAAGGAGGAGGAGGAGGGCAGACAAAAGAAAAGCAGAAAGCTGAGGACGTTGGTGATGAAGATAAGCGGACCAAAGACAAGCACAACAAGCTGGAGAAGGAGAGCAGTGAGAAGGAGCCGAGCAGAGAGGCCAAAAGGGAGAACCGCCGCGGTCAGTGGAGGAGTGGCTGGGCTCTGACTGAACGCCTGGCCATCAACGTGTCAGGGATGCGTTACGAGACCCAGCTCCGAACCCTCGCCCAGTTCCCAGACTCCCTGCTGGGTGACCCCCAGCGCCGTCTTCGCTACTTCGACCCTCTGCGGAACGAACTCTTCCTGGACAGGAGCCGTGCCTGCTTTGATGCCATCCTGTACTTCTACCAGTCAGGTGGGAGGCTGCGGAGGCCCGCCAACGTCCCTCTGGATATGTTCCTGGAGGAGCTGCGCTTCTACGAACTGGGAGAGGAGATCATCGACCGGTACAAAGGGGATGAAGGATTCCCCAAGGAGGAGGAGAGGCCCTTACCTGCCAATGACCTGCAGCGTCGCCTCTGGATGCTGTTTGAGTATCCAGAGTCGTCCGGTGGTGCTCGGATCATCGCCATCATCAGCGTCATGGTCATTGTGATCTCCATTCTCATCTTCTGCCTGGAGACTCTGCCTGAGTTCAGGAATGAGAAGGAACAGAGGGAGGTGAGGATGGGTTACATGGTGCTGACACATACAAGAGCCACTTATGTGTGATAGGGAGGTAACAGGGAGGATACACAAGGCTGCAGATGGAGGTTATGTCAGTGGAAATTCACATAAAGGAGGTAGACAACCAGATGATTGAAGGAGGAACAAGGAGCTGACGGGGTGCAAAGAGAACAGAGGTTAACGCTGCAAGGAAGTGATGAGGTGAACATAGAAAGACATCAGGCGCTGACAGGTGTCACCTTGCCAAACATAAACCAGCTCTTGCAGTACCGTCTGAAAACATCTTTAGCTCCTCTCTCAACAGGGAGGGAAAAAAGTACTGAAGGACGATTAGAAAAAAACCCTGTCAAAGATAAGAATCAAGATCAAGGGAAGGGAAAGCAAAGGCAGCAGATAGAGAAGGTGAGGGCGAGGTTTTCCTCAGATTATTTTGGACTTGTCGTTAAATCTGATCCACTCAGATTGAGCTGAAGGAATGAAGGAGATGAGGAGGGCAGTTGGAAAAACAAGAGTGAGGAAAAAAGAGAACAGACAGAGAAGGTTGGATGGAGGTTTACTGTTAACAGAAGGATACGTTGTGGAGATGATATGTCTTGTCGGGCCACTCAGGGACGACTGCCAGAGCCAACAAGTACATTCAGGTGAAGTGGATATTTCAAAAGTACTGAGAGGAGAGAGAGAGTAGAAGTGTGAAAGGGAAGGAAAGGAGATGAGCTTGTCTCACGTTACCCCTTGGAGATCTAAAGGACTATATATAGACGAAGGACAACCCTAAGAGCACATCAACACATAAACGAATGTCTGTATTAATAAACGCTGTGACTCATAAGCTACACAGTGAAAAGAGGCTAGCAGATCAGCTTTTCTGATGACCGGCGCAAAATCAAATTAGCCTCACACGCTCCGGTAGCCTGGAGACGAGGCGGATAGTGGATGCTCAGGCAGCAGAAGTGAAATGCTCGCTGGATTTATGTTCCCCGTCACCACCAACGCTGCTCTATTACTCCCATACATAGATACAGTACATATACTCATGTGACTAAGAGCATCTGACGCTTTTGAACACTACATAAACAAACCTACATAACAGCCATCTCCACGCAATCACTCACTCACTACATGGTGGTAAAAATCTAACCAACAGAATTAGTTTTGTTAGACTCTGAAGCATGCACGTTGTTGGTTCTATAAGTTATAAGAAGTTATATGTCCTTTAAATGGCTGAAGGATCATGTGAAGTCACTCACCTATAGTGGTATCTAGCATGCAGATGGGTGATTTTGCAGATTTTATTATATTGACTGCAGTAATTTCTTCCCTCACCCAGATACAAAATGAGTAAATGAGACAGACTTTTTCTCAGCAGCCATTTTGACATGAAATAGTAGGGTAAACACATGTGTAATTAATGATACTGATTAAGGTTCTGTTTCATTTGGTGTAGCAGAGCCTTTCCAATGAACCAACATGCACAATTGACCTGAATGGAGCAGAACCTTAATTACATTGGTAACACCTGTGTTTGCCCAACTATTTCATGTCTAAGTAGTTGCTGTGAAAAAAGGTCTACTGTTTGTGAGGCACTTTGAGCTAAATGCTAACTTGAGCGTGATAACATGCAGACATTTTACAGGTATAATGTTTACCATATGCGTCATCTTAGTTTAGCGTGTTAACATGCTAACATTTGCTTATTAGCAGTAAACACAAAATACAGCTGAGGCTAATGGGAATGTTTTAGTGAATATTTCAAAACAAAACAACCGGTGGCGGTGTTGGGAAAATCAGGGGACCACCAGAGTCATTATTCTCTGGGATCCATGGATGTCTTTACAGAATTTCATGGCAATCTAGTTATTACATATATTTCAGTCTGGACCGACCAACAGACAGACTGACATTGACATCACTAGTAGTACCTGCTAGCATAGCTAAAAACTAGACAACACATGTCTTTCCTG